CCATGTGAGGAAGAACTTCCTTGGTGTGAGGGTGCCAGAGCCCTGGCACAGGCTGCCCAGAGAGACTGTGGAGGCTCCTTCTCTGGAGATGTCCAACCCGCCTGGATGCCACCCTGTGCCCCGTGCTCTGGGTGTCCCTGCTGGAGCAGGGGCTGCACTGGGTGATCCCTAGAGGTCCCTGCCAACCTCAGCCGTTCTGGGATTCTGGGATCTCTACCTTCAGGTGAGAACCTGTAAGCAAAGCTCAGCTGAAGCAAACTTGCTCCTTGCGCGGCAGCACTCCCAAAGCAGCACATTGTGCAAAAGCCTGTTGTCCTCCACCTTTGGAAAAAGACTGTCTAGTACCTGCTCCAGACCTAAGACATACTGTAAGGAGAATGATGTCTTGATGGTCAACTGTGACACTTTGCTCCTTGACCTGCTCTTTTGGGCATGCAAATACAAAGAGGGTAAGGAAGCAACACGGGTACCAAACTGCCCGTCTGGGACAAGCATTTAGTCAGTTGGCTTCGAATGCAACTTAGCTCCTACTTGGAGGACAAGGAGCTCCATAAAAGTCAGAGAAAAGGGGGAAAAGGAAATAGTGTGTCTTTCCTTGTCCAAAAGATCCTATATAAGAGCCTAAGTCTTCTTTTAAACAAGCTCCATAAAGAAATTGGAATAAATGTTGAATTCTTTTGCATAAGGGCAGATGCTAAGAGCAGAAACGGAGATGGCACAGCGTGTTACAAGCTGGCTTGCACCCACTTCTAAAATAACCTCTGTAAAATCACCTAGAAATAGCGATGAACAGCTATGTCCCACCTGGAAGCAAGGCAGCAAGGCCACCCCAGCTAGCAGGAGGGCAGGGGAGAAAAGGAGAGGGCAAGTGAACACTTCTCAGCCAGCTCTGACCCTGCTTGTGAATGCAAAATAACCACTCGCTCTCTGGTTTTCAGCTTCAAAAAGGCAAAAACTGATAGCTACAGCACAAAGCGCTTAAAGATTCATATATGAGAGCGATCACAGAAATACAAATCACTTTTATCCTACATTGATCTCATCTTATGCTTTTGGGGGGTGAACTGTTATGTTGATTTTATCGTTTGAATAGACCTTGGTAACTGGGATCCCCAGGGTAACATTAGAACTTGCTCAGGTAATTGTAAATTCAGGTGAGCAGGGCAGGGTTCGGATGCAAGGGAGGACTTGTTTATGTAAAAGGGGAATCCACACGATAAGCATTCAGGAGTCATCCAAAGAACAAAGGGATAAAACACACTCTGATATCACAGGAATCAGCCCCAAAAGAAGGAGGGAAGCCAGGCAGTCGGAATAGCTACAAAAAGACATTGTCCAATTTGTATTATGGGAGGAAATGTGCATGACAGGAACCATCAGGTAGATGCTGCTGCTGTGCAAAAGGCCCGAGTGTAGCCTGTGAGCTCCACAGTTCTCGGTGCTGGTGGCCAAGCAGCTAACAGGGCACAGGAGATCTGTTTGCCACGTAACTCGTGTCAGGAGAGGGCTGGTACCCACGTTTGACGTCCCGAAAACCGCTGGTCTGGCACATGGTTCCTCACAGAGCAGCACGAGATGGGCAAGGAGGAGCGTGTTCCCTCCTCGCCCGTCCGTTCGAACCCCACATCCAATTTTGCAGCACTGGAAGTCACCGCTCTGCTGCTACTCGATCCCTACGACACACAGACACCTCTGCAGAAAAGGGCTGCTCTTATTCTGCCAACCTCCTGCAGCACTTGGTCAGCGTTTCGTTCCTTGGGTGCCAGCTGTGTTAGCACATGCTCAAGGCTAGTTCTGCCTGCCAAAAATCCGGGCTAATTTATTTAAAATTTCAACTGAATAAGGAAAAAAAAAACATTTAAAAGGGAAAGATTGAATTTGGGAATTATATTCCTTGGAGAGTTAGTAATGGATCTCTCTCTCTGCCTCCCTCAGGCCTCAGCATTCATAACTTCCCCATGTCAATGTTATTATGAACAGACTAATTCAATAATGAGATCATTCCCCATATGAGAGCCCAAGTAAATGAGGCACTCAGTCATACCCTCCTTTCCCTTGTCTGAAGCAGTCAAGCTTCTCTCATAATTTAGTCCCCAAGAGCAATGGCCCAACAGTGACACCAGCAATGTCCAGTGTTTGTACTGGTTCAAATCGAGGCATCCTGCAAACCTGTGTCATTTGACCTACACGCCTTAAAATGCAACGTCCAGGCTCTTCCTTTGGCTCAGATACCCGTTACTGAACCTGTTACTGCCTCAGAGATCTAGGCAATACACTGCAAATGAAGTAGCAAGATGAGTGAAGAACTTGCAAGCTGACACGTCTTGTTTTCATTTTGGTATCACTATTATTTTTAAGAGCAAGAGCAGTGGAAGTTGAAGGGATACATCTGGATCTTAGGTTGACGCACACTGTTTCGGTAAGCTTAAGCCTTCTATTTTGATATCACCATTATTTTTAAGAGCAAGAGCAACAGAAGTTGAAGGGAGACATCTGGAATCCCTTAGGTTGACACACACTGTTTCGGTAAGCTTAAGCCTTCAAAAAATTACCAGCTTGTAGTCAAAGAAGAACTCATCAGGCCCAAGATCCACCTAGTCTCAATTCCATCCACTCCTACACCTAGAGCTTCTCCTTTCCTGGGTCTAAGTCTTCAGAGAACTGCACCAACAGGTAGATATTTTGGTGGGATCTCCATGCTGAGCTGATGCTAAGCTCAGACCCTGCTCAGACCCTTCAGAAGAAGATCTCTCAGCTAAACCTCCTGTACAACAAGGGGGAAAGGGACCCCTATGATGGACACTTCAAAAGGGACCCCTATGATGGACACTTCAGTTGTTTTAATTTCATTTTATCCATCCATCCACCTGCATGCACAACGGATGGTTTAACCTCTGAAAGGAGCCATGGCTGCACATGTGGACATCCAAACAGTGACTGATACGATGACATTCACAGCTCACCTTGCAAAGTCCAGGTCGGCTTCTCGGGACATTGTGATGTTCGTCAGGTTCTGCTGCAGGATGAAGATGTTCCTACACATCTTCTTGATGCCGGATTCACTGATGCGCTTGAAATAGTGGGCACCGTTGATAAGAATGCAGGAAATAAGGTGCCCCAAGCCTGCGAGAAGGGGAAAAAACAAATAGAAAGGTCACAGGAGGAAGACATTTAGTGACAATAATTCATTATAAGAAGAGTGAATGGGATTGTTAAGCAGTGCATGCAGTCTGGACAGGAAATATAGGGCCTATCTGTGAAAGATTTCAACATTTTTAGAGGTCTTTCCTCAAAGTTTTCTTCATTAGTAAAAATATAACCATGAATACTCCTAATTGCATTAACACGGTCACTGATTTCTCAGAAATGTACGGAGCACTAGATTTATAATGGAGCTTCAAATGATGACTCTTTTGGTCCCCCTCTCTCCATCAGGGTGATGGATCACTGCTCTTACAAAATTGCAGCATTTCAACCAATAATCAAGGAAAAAGGTGATATTTTTTTCTGGTAAATGCTCAGTGCATAATAGCAGAAAAAGTAACCTGTGGGGGAAAATACGGGCTGCCTTTCAATATATTTCATGTACAACTTATCTCTGACCAGTTCGGATCATGGAAGCACCTCTGTGTTTTAATCTTCTGGCCTAGTGGTCCCTATGTCTCTGTGAAGAGCCGTTTTGCTTAAGTTGAGCAGACACCATAGACCAAATTGGTAGGAGAGGGGTCTTCGATGTGCTGGTGATCACTCAGGTCAGGAAGGATCAGCTCTGTCCACCTCCAAGTGATTGTCCCTTGGTAGTGCATTTTCCACTCTTGCTTTTGGCAAGGTTTCCAGTATTTTTGTTCAACACAAGCACTTTGTGGACTAAACACTGTACCATCAGATGGCTATATGGATACGTGGGGAAGGTTTACAGATACTGAAGACCTTCTCTTGAACCAGTAAGCAGTGCACAGTGAGGTTAAGCAAGCCAGGAAAGTCTTGATCCCTGCTGGCATAATATACAGGAGCATCTCCAGTCCCCACCCTCTCCTGCCTTTGAAAAACCAAGGCATAAAATGATATTCTGCCACACAGGCAACAAAAGTGTGCGTCAGCGCCACAAATAAATACAGGGGAGATGAACCAAAACGTGATTTATATTCTCAAAGGTAATCAGAACAGATGAGACATCAGAACAGCTAATGTTCTCTAAATTTAATTTTAGAAATGGAATGGCTACACTTTGGATAGAAACTGTGCTGTAATAGAGCTGTGCTCATAATAAATGCACACGCTCTATGGCTTCCCATGGAGAACTTGTGCTGCGTGTTTATCAACTTATCGCTTTCACTAAGTTGACTTCATCACGAACCCATGTCTCCTATTCAGCCACACACACTCAGAAATGGGTGGAGGCAACAGGGTTTTGCATTTCCATGGAACTCACTTATCAAGCTGTGTCTTACCCACACAGATTTTTCAGTTTTGGGCCAAGGCTGGAGTCATTGAACCTGAACCAAACTCTTGGTAGTAGCAAACACTGTAGAGCACCTCCTTCATCTCCTCCCCATCCTCCTCTGTGACAACAGCAGCCACAGATGATGAGTGCCTGACCTTCAAAGATGTACTGGAACTTGTGCTGCTGCAGGCTGGCGCTCATGGCTTCCTCGATAGCGCTGATGTCCTTGTTGAGCCGGACCACGAGGGGGTCGTAATCCATGCTCTCCACGTTGGCAATGATGGCGTAGTTCCCTTGCTTAGCCAGCGGGATGAGATAGTGGAAGCAATGAACCCTATGAGACAGAAGAGAGAAATGTTGTAATACAGCAAACCCAAAGCAGGTGACAAATGACAAAGCGACAGCAGGTGACACACAAAATATGGTTCTAGATGGGAAAACTCCCACAGCAGAATGCTTTTTGTGTCATGAACAAAAATGCCAGCAACCACTTGACAATTCCACATGTTCAAATCCACTAAAGCCTGCAGAGGTCCCAGAGGAGGCCATGAAAATCCATCAACCACAAAGCATGGGTCTCAAGAGGCATCACTGAATGTTTTGGAGGGAGCAGAATATGTCTGAATTGCTCTCTTTGCCTTTGGTTTCTCAGCTGAGACTGGTAAGGAGGAGGAGATCTGCAGAGGCCATTCCTCTGCAAGGAAAATTTGCACTACAGCCTTGATGTCAACCTCAAAACCTCCTTCTCCCAACCCACCAAACAGCTCCAAGATCCTTGCAGGATGTCTGAACTTTCCTACGTTCTTCTGCTTGCTTTGATGTGAAGGCTGTTTGTTTCATTACCATCATAAAAGCCATCAAGGTCTACACTTTTTAAATAATTAACCCAGAGCTTCATGTGCTAGCCAGAATCTGACGAGCAGCATTTCCTTCACACCTCAGAAGAGGTTGAGGCTGCTCCTGAAGTCAGGTTTGTCTTGTATTTCTCCCTCCAGATGTGAGGGTGTTCCTGTTGACCTTGACTTGACTTTGCCATTAGGTCTTCTGAACACACTGCTGTTTGCTCAACAGAAAAACTACACATATAGGATATTGTAGGGACACACAGTTGCTACGAGCACAGCTAAGTTCCAGGCAAAGTAAATCTTTTTTTCTAATAATAATAATAAAAAGTGAGAACAAGCAGAATACACACTTTTCACCAAGTACTGCCTTCTTATTTCCTTTTAATGTTCCACCAAATGAAAAATAACCATGATTTTAAGGAATGGCAGGTAACTTCTGCCTTAAATGCATCCTCCTCATGTTGTGCCACTGTCTTAGCTTTGGAGATAAAGACAAAGGACCCTCCATCATTAGATGTGACCTACACTTTTACTGGTAAGATGCCAAGTGCCTTTTACCAGGTTCTCCAACCTCACACAGGCTGGTTCAGCAAACACTTCAATATTGAGTGGAATCTCCTTCTGTGGACTGTAACAACAGGTATAACTGGCAAAAAGAGGGAGTCAGGGGACACGAAATAATAACTAACAGGCCAAGGCTGTGCCTATTCCCAGGGATTTAACACCCTTGCAAATATTTTCTTTTCCAGTTCCTGCTCAGTAGAAGGTCTGTAGGCAGTGAGCCCTCCCATCATTGGAAAAATCCTCTGCACTCAAATCCTCTACTAGTGCTCTGCAAAAAAACCCCAAAACAAAACAAAAATAAAAACATAATTGGGGTATTGAGTCATTTCTCCAGAACCTATGAAGGAAAATGAGGTTTCCAACAGCAAAACTCCTTCAGATTTCTGTAGTACTTGGATTTCACTCATATCACGTCATGCCTGCCCCTGTATAATTCTATATAAAGCCTTTTTTTTTAATAGAAAAAATACTACAGCGAACAGAATCAGTAGTAAAGAGACCTCCATATTCAACAGAAGAAATGGTTAATGACCTGAAAGCGCCAAAAGTTTAACCTAAAGAAGTGGATCTAAACCAAGGCGCCGGCTCTGTTTGCCTTCAGCCAGGGTGTCAGTGAGGACCCAGCTCACGCTCAGATACCAGCTCCAGGATGGTGCCCAGCCTGGCCTGGCAATGCCATGAACGAGCCAATAATTCTGCCGTTTCAGATGTGCTTTGCTGTTTGCTTTTGCTTTCTTAGGCTGCAGGTGCCAAAAGGGCAGTGATTTTCCCACTGCTCCTCCAGGTGGTTGCAAGCAGTGGGACTAATGGGGCCTGGTAAATCTGGGGGGATTTTCCTGGCCATTACCATTCCTTTTTCCTGCTCCTTTTCTGACTGGGGCTGGGAGAAGCGGGAGACTAGAGGAGCTAGGAAATGCTCAGCTCCAAAGTGACAGCCAAAACGCTTCCCAAATCCCATTTGCATTTACTTCTGCTTGCAATTCAAGGGTCAAGCGTGATGGGAAGCCCATGCAGGAACCTGTCCAGGCTGCTGCTGACACCACAAGTGCAGGTCAGCTCCGGCATCACCTAGTAATACATCCCAGCTGGAAAGCTGCTCCATTTCCACACCTTAACAATCTCTTTCTCCAATCCTTCAAGCCTCAGCTCATGTGTGATGCCGATGATAAAGTGGTGGGCAGATGATGGATGGCGGGTTGAAGGGCTGCTGACAATAACTAATGTGTATTTTTTTCACAGCTACATATTGACTTCACCAGAGCTCTGCCAATGTGATACAGCTCAGGACATGTCACAGCAGAGCAAACTGATGGTCCGTCAGGTCTCACTGCCTGCCCCTGACATTTGCTTATGTTTGATGCTTCAGAGAAAGAGAAGCAATGAAAATACACCTGGCCAGTATGATGCAGGAGAGGAAAAAAAGAGTCCTTCCAGTCCCACAGTGGACAGCTGGCAGCCTGAAGAAAGAGATTTGCTGCCTTTGATATTTGCATGTGTAGTCAGAGACATCATAAAATTATCCAGCCCTTTAAAAAACCCAGCTGGTGTTCACCCCCTTCCCCAGTTTCTGTTACTATTTGAAAAAGTAGTAAGAAAAGCTCCTATTTGCAATCCAAAGCACAATGGGTGATAAATGCGCAGGCACCTGGTAGACTATAAAAACATCATTGTGCAATTTTCTAAGAACAAAGCACCAGAAAACTCATTTTTCCTCGTCTCTGCCACACAAGGAGACAAAGGAAGAGCAACAGCTCTTCTGTGCTGCCGTCCCCCGTGTCAGGACCGAGAGATCTGCACATCCTGAGCTTGAAGAGCAGTCACCACCTGTACGGCCAGGTCACTTCCACCTCACTGAGAGCCAAATAACTTCTGGGAGAGGGAAATCTAGTTACTCTGGTCCTTATGTAGATGCCTCTTTTCATTGGTGGCCACCGAGAGAACTAGTGGTAATGGCCACAAACTGAAGCACCAAAAGTTCCACAGGAACTTAAGGAAAAATTTCTTAATGGTGAGGGTGCCAGAGCACTGGAACAGGCTGCTCAGAGAGGTTGTGGAGTCTCCTTCTCTGGAGATCTTCAAACCTGCTTGGACGCAGCCCTGTGCCACGTGCTCTAGGTGACCCTGCGTGTGCAGGGGGGTTGGACTAGATGATCTCTAGAGGTCCCTTCCAACCTTCAGCATTCTGTGATCCTATGATTCTATGAATTATTAGTGATGTTTAAGACAGATATCGAGCACCAAGTCGAGAGCAGAGACCTCACAATAGCTGAAGAGCAGCAGGTGCTGGACTCAGCCTCCCCATGAACTCCCAGTCTAGGCTTTGTGCCTTCCCCTCGTTTTCGGTTGTCCAAGGGTGATGAGATCTGGCATTCCCGGAATGACCCTCGCCCTCCTGCATTTAGCTGCTACTGGAGGCAAATATATCTGCCCCAGGTGCTGTAAAGGTGCCTCCGGACACAACTTCAGTCCATGGACTCCAAAACTCACCCACAGTCCCTGCACTCAGGGCTTTTACCTGACTTCCAAATGCAGAACCAGCAGGCAGCGGTCAGCCATCTCCTGAAAGGACTTGGCCAGCTCACTAAGGCTTTGCATGATCTGCTCGTACGCTGGAAGGTGCTCCACGCTGGCATGGCCATCCTGGCCAGGAGACAGGGCTAGCAAGAGAAAACAGGATACATTTGTGACATATTTAACCAGCACAGCTCTGCTTCAGCAGCTACAGCATCTTGTCTGCTTCCATCCTAAACACACACGTTCTCTCCCAGCTTTGGCTGAGCAGTAACGTCTATAATCCGGGAGTATAAGAAGCAACAAACCGCAATTGATTAAATCCCAAAGTGAATCTGAGGGGTTTAATCAACCACCAGAGCACATTTGCTTGGAAAGACATCGCTATGTGATGGGTGTTTCTGTAGCTGCAGATTCCAGGGACATTTATCTTGCTTTGCTTAGATCAAGAGAAATGCTGCTTAGGAGCCACAGCATGGTACTCGGAGGAAACATGTTCCTTTTCGGTCACCACAGACTTGCTCACATGATCTCAAGGGAATCATCTCATCTCTTTGCCTGCCCTCATTCTCGTTAAAAAAACACAGCTTTTAGGCTCTGAAGTGGTTGAAGAACGGGTAAAAGATACAAGTTGATCGTGGGCTCATCTCCAAAGCTGTACCTGAACCAAGGTGCTGTTGTGCACAGAGAACAGCTGAGATTGCAAAAAAGAAACACCCTTTTATTCAGTGATCAGAACATCTGCAGATGCATTTTCATCAACTATGGATCACCATCCCACTATGAGCCAGGAAACAACCAGTACTTCTATTTTACAGGATAAATTCAGAGAAAAAGGCCACATCACAAGCTGGGTGCTAAGCGCTGTTGCATGGAACAAGCCCCCCTTCTCCCTCCTTCAACCCCTGCCTCCATGCTGTTGCATGGAACAAGCCCCACGTCCTTCTCCCTCCTTCAACCCCTGCCTCCATTCTCACACCCATGAACATCTTGGTGGTGGTACCATGTGATTCATCCCATCTTCGAGACCTGTGCATTGCTGTCCTACACACACCATCCTAAATTAGGATCTAGGCAGGACTAACTTATTCAGATATACCTAAGGAGGGCTCATGTCTGTGTCCATCCCATTGAGATGCTTGAAAAAAAAATCCATTCTTGAGAATCTCAAACCTTGGTGGGCTCTGATGAAGCTGAGATGTGGGCTGAGGGTGCTACAGCACCCACAGTTTTTCTTAGCCTTACTGAAACCAAAGCTGGTTACAGCCCCATCTTGAGTCTTCCTGATCCCAGATTGAGAAGTCCTTAAAATACTGGCATAAATCACCATGAATCTCCACTGGCTCTTTTGGAACAGAGCCAATGAAGATATAACCCTACAGCTTTTACCTATATGACCTGAATCTGAAACCACCACCCCTGCAACACAAATCACTGCCAGCTAAAGAAAGATTTTCAATAATAAGAGAAACCTGCTGTTATCATATATTCTGTCCTAATTAGAGGAAGCTTATCCCAAATATCTGAGTTCAAGCCCTCGTTGAAGCATCACTTTAGAAACGACTTCCTGCACAGGATGATTAGCAATGTTTGAAATCAGGCAGCCCTACTTGGGCATCTTCCTCTTGAATTAAGCAGTATGACTGCAAGGGAGCTCCTGGATCATCAAGTCCAGCCCTTGCCAGCATCGTGTCTTCAGTAGGAACTTGTATGTTCTGAGAATCGTTCCGATTTCCACCCTCTTCCCTCGGTGGCTCCTTCAAAACCTCACATCTCTAACAGTGAAGATAAAGATTAAATCCTAATTTCCAGTCTAAATTCATTCATATTAGTATCTGGCTCTTTATGTGCCAGAATTTTTCTTTAAGTAGTGCCCTATCCCTGATATTTAATTTCTGATGGAGCAATCAGAAACTTCCCAAGAGGTGCAGAAGGCAGCTAGCTCTCACTGATGCCTCTAATACAGGTTTTCCACCCTATGAACACTTCCACACACCACTTCCAGTTTCCATTTAATTCCCCTTCAACACAGCTAACCAGAGCTGCAATTGAGAACAAGGTATGACTGGTGCTACAAGGCTTCCCCACCTCTTCTGCTCTGCTTTATCTGCTTTTTTTTCATGGTTTCGTCACATTTTGAGCTCATCGTTGTTCCGTGATCAACCTGAGTAATGGAGATATGCTATCTGCTGGCAGTAATAAATGGCTCTTATTCTCTTTTCTTCCACTCCTGTTAGCTACACAGCAGACAAACACTTAGCCAGACACCAGCTCAACTCTGGGCACAATGGACTTATCCATCAGCGAGGAGCTGCTGACGATAAAACTTCCATTTGGACGCAGACTGATTAAATAAATGTTGCTTGCTGCTGTTTGTGTAGCCAAAGCCCTGCTTTGAAAAAGGAACCTTGCTGATCTTTGGATTCGCCCACAAAATTAAGTGCACCTTCAAATCTCGCCGGAAAAGAAAAGAAGAAATGATGGACTAAAAAGTCCCACTCGATTCTGTGCAAAACAAATGGAAATAGAGGTAAACACATAAGACAGCATGGGACAATTACAGGCAGGCAGCAAAGCAAACGGAAAAGATTGCACAAAGCCAAGTACCTAATTGTGCATCTAATTTTACTGTGAATTACAAGAGAGAAAAATGTGCGCAGATGAAATTGTCCTCCAATCACAGAGAAATTTATGAAGTTTTTTGATTTTTTCTTTTTTTTGCTTTTAACAAAGAGACTGTAATGGATATAGAAATTCAGAGCCTGGCAAGTGCTGCCGAACATAATTAACTGTCCTGATGTGGAAAAAAGAGAAAGAAATGGGGAAAATGGTGGTAATAATCTGCTCAGGGTGACTGGAAATAACGAGGATTCTCCCCGGCCCGAAACAGGGAGATGCTGCTCCAAGGCTCTCCTTAACAACTGAGGTGCTGAGGTCTCCTCCACAAAGGAAGAGGAATTATCGGCTGGGGAGATGGCCTTATTTGCACAGCCTCTATCCCGAGATAACCGTGTGAAGAGGGAAGGTGCTCGGGGAGGGAAGTGGATGTTTGTCCAGCTGCCACCGCTGAGCTCTGAGGCTCCCAATTGTCACTTGTGTCACCGGAGGGTGGCAGGACTTCTGCATGATGCAGCAGCTGCTCTAGGGGTGCTTGTTTGGTCACGGTGAACAGCAAGAAGCGCCCCCTTACTGATGGAAAAAAACCTCTTTTTGGTCAACTAATAATAAAATTCCTGTACTTCTACTGACCCAGCTCCTGGAGCGGGTTCACTGCAGCTTGCTCCAGCACTGCCTCCTTAGAAGCATTGGAGATGGATGGACCATCCACCGAAACACAAGATTTGTCTCGTTTCGGTTGCAAGGGAGAGACGTGTGTGCATTTTTCTGCTCTCCAAAATCCATTTACAGCAATTTGAGTGAAGCTGCAATTATATTTGTCAGTGGGGATAAGAGGAGGGAGACAGTGATGATCTGCTGCTTGCTGAACTCCCGAGCACACGAGTCCTTCTGGGCGCCCACAGACCTTATGGGCAGGAGGAGGACTCGAGCTGGTAGGTGCTGGTTTGGGGAACGTCCTCTGGTTTCTCCCGTGCCAGATGGGGACACCCAAGTGTACGTTTGGTTTTCAAGATCAGAAAGGCCTTTCAGAGGCC